TATGTAAATTATAAATTTATAGATTGTCTCTATAAACAAAGTGAAAGGCATGTATTTAAATATTAATTCATTGATATGATATTGTAGATATGGCAAATTGGAGCTCTGAATTTCTTACCAATGATGTAAAATCTGCAATAGGATCGATAGGCGGATTAACAAATATGAATATTGAAATAGGAATACCATACTTTGTAAAAAAGATCTTTTCTAAAAATCTAACTCAATCAACATCATCAAATTTATTAAAAGTTGATTCAGATAGGTCCAGGTTTATCAAAAAGGAGGATGAAGGTGGTTCGAGATTATCTGTTGGTGGTGGTGGTGGTAGTTCACTGCTTCATTATTTATGACTGGAGAAAAAGATAGTGATGAGAATGATGCTGAAGACTTTGGAGTATATAAGAAAAGGTGTGGTTTTCTGGTGCAAAATGATGAATTCATGTTGCTTACAAAAAATTGATAAAAGTTTATAATATTTTAATGACATTGATCATAAAGAAGCATTGAATTTACCAAGTATTATTAGTAATTGGTTGGTAGCCAGGGTTCTGGTAAAAGTTATGTATTAGAAGCAATGTTGGACATGAATTTTTTTGCCAAAGTTCAACTTTTTTATTTTTAAATATATTAGGAAATGTGATGGTAGTTTTGGATTGATTAAAAACTCTACAGAAAACATCCAATCCAGCAGGATTGAATAAAACTCAATGCTATGAAGGTGGAAAAGGCTTTCAATACTTGGATATCAAATCAATTTTTGAAATTTATTTTAAAAAATTAAATGGTATCCCAACTAAAGTTTTTAGTGTGGGGAACTATAGAAGAAAAGTTGTGGGAACAGCTTCAAATTTGCCTCAGGTTTTTTTCAATCCTGGTATGTTTTATCAAGAATTATTGCCATACATTATAAATATGTAATTAATGCTAATTTTATTAATTGCTAAAATTATATATATTCATAAATATTTATACATGTATATGTGTGAAATATAGTAAATCAAGGATCAGCTGAAGCAAGACATTAAATTGCAACAGATTGTTTGAAAAAGAAGGGCAGGTTGGAATTTATGATGCTATTAATATAA